ATCTACCCTATTTCATATTCGTACCCTCTCCCCCATGCGAAAACCGCCAGGGCCAATTTGATTTTCACATAAGCACGAAGGTCGACATATTTGTCAGCTGATAGTGAAATGGTTAATGTGATTAACGTTTCGTAGCGACGAGCATCAATACAATATATTTTACACCAATACGATTATTATGATAAAATGCAAGAACTGTTCGTCGAATAAATAAAAAATGAAAAAGACAATGAAAGATAAAGTTGGACACGAACGAATTAACACACAAAAATCACACAATTTCAGAAGAATCACAATCCACGACAACACATTCACAAGAATTAAAGTGCGATAAAGTGAAATAAAATAAAAAATTATGACATGCGACTGTCACGTTCATTTTAATAGTCAAAATTGTTGTAAGAACTTTAAAGAAACAAGTAAAACAGTATTATTACTGATAGCACACGTATGGACTTGTTTAACAATTGTCTACCACCGCCTCCAACAGATTTAGGCAAAGGACGATTAATAGCCTACCGGTCGATAACAGAAGTCAACAAAACTTCTATTTATAGGTTACCGGTCGATAAACGCTACCAGTGTAAAGACTATTAATCGGGTACTGGCGAGTAATGTATTAAGTTAGCTATAAAATGGTGAAAAGTTGAATGAAGTCTTTAGATGATGTAGATCAAAATAGACCTAGACATTGCATCCGAGGGCTAGTTTGATAGGATGTGCCGGAGAACAGTGATATAATCGGTTCGAGTTCTTCGAAGCCGATATTATATCGATTCTGAAACAGTTCTATAACTTTATGTTATATTACTTTTCATCACGGGTCCAATTTGATATTATGAAGCAAGGTGCTAAATGTGAAACAGCTGAACAAAATGAACCGATATAATATCAAGAAGAACCGGATATACCTATATACCGAATAACAGTTACGACCTATTTCGGTTCCCCCTAACAGTTTCAAGAACCAAAACCGATACCATAACAGTTTTCAATCTCTTAAAAATGCTTAACGGAAACGAGTAGATGGCTACTGTGCACGAAGAGTAACAACCTAAGTACCTACGTATCTGATCCGCGATGCGTTAAGTGTAAAGGCATTGGTAAAAGAAAGTAAAGGCAGTAATAATTGACAGTACTTACCGGTGATGGTTTCGGCGTCCTTGGTGGTGATCGAGGGAGTAGTAAGCGGATGCGATATTCTGTTCCTAGGAGATCTGAGGGCCTGAAGGGCAGCCTTCGCCGTAGGCGACACTTTAAGTGCGGTGGCCTTCGATCGGATCGAAGCCTCGGGCCCCTTCGGAGCCGCATCCTCAACGGCGGCCAGCTTGGACGCTGTGGCGACGAATGATATCGCCTCCCCGTCCTTTATCACCGATCATGCGTGCATAAAAAACAAACCCGATTACTTACATCGACTTTCCACAGCTCATCTAATAGGGTATCATTTCTTTCAGGGACACTCTGAATCCATTCGAGACCGGATCTTTTTTTAAAGACGGTCCCCAAGACTCGAGATCATTGCTTTCGCCATTAGTGTCTTAGCATTTTTTGTAATCCCGACGATCTTGATTGTGGGTTACCCTTTCCAGGGTCTTAGCTTGAACGCACCACACAATGAACAGAACTTTCGTCTGAATTGAAACGACAGTTGTCTGACGAGGAAAGGTTTCGAACTCGGAAATTCGAAAAATTATGAGATTTCGTGAATGTAAGCAGAGTAAATCGAGCCTGATGCATTGCAATCTCTTTTCCGTGTTGAATTTCATTTTGAAGGGATGAGAATAGAAGAAACATTGGTTTATGTCCATAAAATTGCACTATACAATTTTTCAAAAAGTTCAATTTTTTCGACAGTTTAATTTTGAAAATGATTAATTTGAAAATTGATACCTTTCCTTGTAAGTAGATAGTATGAACACACTCTGATACCTAGGCAGTTGGGATTTCGGATAGTCTAGTACGTTAGGGTACCCGAGCTTCGAGTTCAGTTGGGAGACTTCAAACTTCAAAATTTGGAGTGGAATAGGGCGAGATACACTTGGTAATAATACTGTAATTATACTATGGAACTTTGTGTACTTTATGTATAGGAATTCATTTCAGTGAATTCTATGAGATCAGAGATGAAGAAGAAAGGTGTATTAAGTATTTAATTGATATGTGCTGGTAGGAGGTCACTTGATGGCTAGACTCAGGAACTTTTAATCTGTTATTTCCTAATTCCTACTATTTTCGATCACTAATTTGCTATTTGCTAATACAGTTATATGTGACCAATCAAAAATATAAACTAGAAAGACTCCCCTGACTCCTGTGCCGTTCCACTAAGCATCAAGTCATCTTCTAACTGTAATATCAGTGGGACAAACATGGCTGCCTCAGCTAGATTGAACACCAGTAGTTTAAACGTAGTCGATCAGTGTACAAGCTACTTACTGGTCAAATTGGTTAACTGGATACAACGAAAAGTAGAGAAAAGTGATACAATAGTATATATTTCAAGAATTGTAAAATTCTTGTAAAAAAAATAAATGTAAAAAATTAAGAGTCAATCAAGTACTTTAATAATAAAGTTGTTTAAAATTCAAGGAATAATAAAAGGCTTTAAAACAGGTAAAATCTAATCAGCCCCTGGAATTTGAATAATTTTTATTCGAATATCTGTAATAATTAACACTATTCACAGGAAGGAATTATTTATTATTGCATCGCGGTCATATAATAATTTACTTTATTTTATTAGTATATTGCATAGTAGTAGAAGTAGTAATTAGTAGAATGCATAAATGTAAACTACAGTACCAAAATGAATGGAAAGTAGAATATTATAATTTTAACATCACTGTAGATATTTTAATTCGGTGCTACAGATCAATCTTTATCAATTTACTGTCAGAACAACAGACATTTAAATCAGCAACGTCGTTCGATGGAAAGAAGTATAATGGGAGCCGCGACCGTAGACACTACATACTAATTATAGCACCGTTGCAAGCATGTTAATTTATCAGAAAAGCAACACACTTGTAATTAATATACACTGAACTAGCTACCATTCGTTCACAAAATTCTACGATGTTCACTCACTGGCTAGGTACCCAAAACTGACCCTTTCTTTCTATTCCTCAAACGTACTCATATTCTCTTTCTCTTTCTCTCGCTCTGGCCAGGCGAACTTATCTTTTACCGAAGGTCCCACCCCTGTAACAACAAACCGAGGCCCATGCACTCGAAACGGTCCGTTCTGTTCCAAACGCTTCTCATTCACGCCCAAAACTTCCAAACTTCGCTGTAGGTACTCCCATACAGTCACGGTTTCATTTACGACGTACTCTCTGACTCACGACAAATTTTTAGTTCCATAAAAACTCATACAATTGCATGTGAAAATCATAGAAATATTGATAAACCGTTTTTTTACATGACAGAGGTCTATTTTTGGAGAAAAACGAGATAGTCAGTTTCCGTAGGATATAGTTATCCTGTTTATACATTTACAATCATACAGTTAATGGTGTATGATATTCTTATAAATTAATCAAAAGAAGTTTAAAATGTTATCGCTAAAATGTTTTCTTTGACAGTGGAATAAGTATATTTTTAACTGAAAAACCATTTATCTACTTTAAGAATTTTATTAATAGAATAAAATGTAATAAATGTACGGTTTTAAAGAGTTAAATATGAAATGATTTGAAAAATAAATAGTTTCACTTGAACACTATAATGAATATGCAAGGAAACCAAAAAGAATCTATTGTTTTTTATATATATTATATATTTTTATATGTAATAGTATTAATATAATATAATGAAATATTCAATAAGACAAGTATCGACTTAAGGAGCACTTTATTTGAATTAAAATCATGACGTACTTCAAAGATTTGAGCAATGGTCTATATGTACCTAGGCAATACACACAAAGCAACAGGTGAGAGAAACCTTAAGGCGAAATTCTTCTTCATGACGTAAAATGAAAGTGAAAAGGAAAAAAAATTACCATATTGGCTTTGTTCCCAAGTTACTAATAATTAGAAGTCGTTACTGCCTTTGAATTGATGAGCCGCACGTGCGCCACTACTGATCGTTAATAATTTGAAAACCAATGTGTTATACTTTCATGGACCTGCGATGATCAAGCGCCATTTTAGACCAATCTTGAGTATTTTTCTCTAAAATAAAAAATGAAGAGAAATAAATTTCCCTTTTACTCCAGTTTCTATAAAACAATTTTAAAAAATAGAAATTTGCGTAAAGATCAGTTCATAACTGCATAATTGTAAGTACGATTGTATTTAAAACTTTAATTATCTTAAATTTACTATCTTGTATCTAAAACTTGAATTATTTTAAACAAAATTTATTAAACCTACAAGCAATCAAAGTCAAATGATGCAGTTCTCATTGCTCTTCTAGCATTAACTGAAAAATTTCTTCAAAATTCACTTTAAATACTAAAATTGAAAAATTTTGTGTTTCATCATTTCATAGTATAGGTACAATTAATACAATTCTCTTGTTTGCAAGTAGTCGTCAATAATGCAGATAATACAACGGATGACGTCATTATGACATAATGATGCGATGCATTCAACGAAGCGTTAGGTATCTTTCCTCTTTCACGTGAAAACTTTGCACTTACAGCATTTCCTACAAATACACCTCAATTAGCCGAGCAAAAAAAATTGGAAGTTTTTGTCCCTGTGAAAGAGCTCGTAAAAATGTGAAAGAAATTGATGTTTTTGTCTCCCCACATTTAAAGAACCTCTTAAATTTCCTCTCACCTGTTGCCCAACACTATGAATATGGAAGTGCCTACGAGACAGCGGAATGTTCACTCACATACATGTACACACAAGCTTGCGAATATATCATACCTCTTTATCGTGTATTTTCCTTCAGAAATCTATGATTCACGAACACCAATTTTGTTCCCTGCGACTACGTTAGCTACCGGTGAAATGGGAACGCAAATGCACGCTGTTTCCACGAAGTTCATTTCAGTATCATGCTTTCGTGACGACTAAGTATTTCGTACTGGAAGTAAGAGCTGTATAACGATCTTATCCGTTTAATATCTTGCTCGGATTACAGTTTTCTCCTTAGACATGCAGATCTTGTAAATAATAAATGTTACGTTCTTGTCAAATTTGGTCGAATTATTAATTTGAATATTATTCTTTTGTCTATTTCAATGTAACAAGTCTCATAATAGTCTATAGAGTTAGAAATGTACTTTATTCAGAGATCAAGGCATCTTATGGAACGTAAATATAATGGACTTTATCAACAATTGATTGGTGCAATCAAAACTTCATGTAAGTTTGGGCATTTCGTATTAAATTAATTCGTATGAACATATTAGTTTGTAGTTGTGCTGTGTCTATAGGTGGCGTTAGTTCAATAAATCGCGATATTTGTAATAAATCGAATATTTCTGTTGTAAGAATGTTTCATGAAATTTGTGTAAATTATATTTCCTTTGTATCGATAATTAGAAATGTTACAAGAAAAAATTAAATTGTCTGGAAGGAAGTATGTTTCTAAGATGTTTGTTAACAAGCAGCTGATATTAGCAGATAATGGTTCTGCTGTTGTCTGACAATTTTTTAATATATATAAATTTAGAAATAAAGTCTAGAATTATAAATAAAAATTTACTGTATGGAATGAACTAAACATTTTTTCGATTTACATTGCTACTAAAAGGATGTGAACACTTCCATAATTCTTGTAGCTACCTGGAAAAAATATCAAACCTCCAATAAATCTAATTAAACTTTCTAAATATTTAATAAATCATTAAATATCTCATTGATATTAAATAAGAAAATTGTTATATCACTTTCTCATCTGCATATCCACCATATGCTTGTATAACCGTGTTTACAAGTCACGGTATTCTAGTTATTCATTTTCCATTGTTTGTATTGGTCTAGAGGAGACGGAAGACCGCATTACAACGATGTTATCAACGTAAAATGAAAGAAGAAAGCCTTAGAAACCGCCTAGACGCAGCACAATACAAGGCAGTGTTAGATACATCAGATAGTAACTTTTATTTGCTTAACCCTTTCGTTCTTATTGTATATACATGGTTACATATATAAAATTTTAAAATTTAATATCATTGGCATGTGTTAATTCACATTTAAAAATATGTGATTTTCTTTTGTCTTATTTATATTTCATAACACAAGTTTTACTGTTTACTTAGAATCATCTCGGTAAAACAGAACATAGAATTTATTATCAATAATGATTGAAAAGTAAAATAAAGGTTAGTAAAAAAATAAGAAAATTATGTGATGAGTCATCAAACAGTTTAGGAACCAAAGGATTGAGATGTTCAAATAGTGAAATTGTTCAATTCAATACTATTAGAATACGTTACACGTGAATTTGTAATACCCACTAGGTATTTGTACGAATTCGATATTTTTTAATATATTCAATGTTTTAAAACAGTCAATTTAAGATACAGTTATTAATGTCACAATCTCATCCTCGCTTCTCATGTTTCTCAAATGCTTGTGAAATCTTAATAATTTTTCGCAGAAATCCTGATAACGAATAGGATATAATGTCATTAATCTTCAAGGAAGTTGTCACTGCAATTCTTAAGAAAAACGATTGACTAAGTATCAGACATTGCTTCAGAGAATGACGGAGAATTGTAAGTATTGGAATTAAAAAAAAGTTAAAAACAAGCACTGAAAATATTGTTCAAATTTTATTGTTTCTATACTAAAAATTGTATGAAGACATTGTAAGCTTCAAAGATACTGAAATTTGTTTCGTTGGACATTTACTTGAGTAGTAACACGGCTTGGTAACAACTATCGAATTTCGTGCAAGGACGAGACATTGCTGGAATGTGCAAAAGAACAAACTCAGTCTATTAATACAGAAAAGTGTAGTACATATGGTCGCTTTCGGTGAACCGTGCTCATCTACCAAGTTCGCACCAATATTCAACCGCTACGTTCTGGAATAAACCTCAGCGAGAAAGTTTCATTACTGGAGGCAATACGTTCAGAACACTAATACGAACAAACATACCTAAATATTAATTAAACGTCATTATTTCCAATTACATGCAAGCATTCTGTACATTTCTTTTTATCGTTTTTGTCTGTAGATTAAACAAACATTAATACAATAATATCAATTAGATTTAATTATTTTATATCATATGCAATCATTGTTAACATTTATTGTTATTCTGTCTGTTTGTAAATCAAACAAACACAATAAAATAATAATTAAATTTAATTATTTTAAACTACTTAGAAGCACTATTTACAGTCTCTTTACTGTGATCGCTTGCAGATCAAATAAACATCAATAATATCTGCAATGTTCACACATAATCTAATTGTTTTAAATTATGAATATTATAAATAATTTAACATGCGTTTAAATAAAACAAGAATTTGTTTGAATCATTGAACATATTCTAGAAATTAAAAGCAAAACGAAAACTTTCTTCTTTTCGGATAAAATTTGTATCTCCCTCTTTCCCGAATTAATTAAATTTTTTATTTAAACTTTCAAAGTGATCTTTTGATAATAGTTAATTTAATTATTCGAAAATAGAACGAGAATTTTACTGCAACAATTATTCATCGAATACAAACAGTATTTGATTAGATTCTGTCGTACGACTGTACTTTTAATTTTACTCGTTTCATTGTTGTTGTAACTGAAATGCACCAAAAATTCGTAAAAATTATTAGATTGCCAGTTCCGTATCATAAACAAAACAGTAAAAAGATACGCGCGACAAATCGAACTTTCACAAATCGTACTGCACAATAGAATTATATATCTGTGATTTTACTACTAGCCTTCACAAGAAGATACTTCCATAAAATATTTTTCAAAACTTTCCTAGAGATTTTATCGCACCTTGTTATCATGGCGCGATAAGAATGAAATGAGCAAATATCACCTTCAATTGCTGCAACGATGTGACGATATCAAGTACCCGCTACGTAATTTAACTGATTCATCTCCGACGTATAAACGGTTCTGGTTATTTCCGGTTATTTTTATGAAAGCTTAATTGAAAAGACCATTTTCAGGATGTCGAAGGTAAAACAATAAGGCAATGACCGACAGTTTTCAATGACATAAAGAACTGAACTTTAACCCCTTCAGACTCGGCGTCTGTGTTTAACCCTTTCGTCCCGGAAAACATACCTTATACTATATCTATAATGTTACTCGTAATGCACATATGCATTCAATAATTTATAATATTTTCGTAGTTCCAGCATACCGTGTGTATCGAAAGTTCTGGTACAGACAGTTAGACAAACTGAAAAGTGTGATTTTCGCCCTAAAGATCGTAAGTATTTCATTTTTAACAAGAAGAAACTATAACGAATTCAATTACAATGCCAACAACTACAAAAGAATTTAACTTTTTCATTAGTTATTCGGTTATTCATTGATTTCCGAAATTTTCCTGCTCCCGATTTCGGAAATATGGCTGTAAGAAAAACGGCTAGAAGCGTTTGAAAAGGTTCAAATTGTCGAGTATAGTTGACACTAAAATATAAATAACGATTTTTTTGTACTTACACGAAATTGTCATTTTCAAGAAGCCTTTAATAAAACTATTAAGTAAGATACTTTAAAAGTAGTATAATCACGCGAACGTCCATTTAACAAATACATTTTTCCGGTTTGCTAGGTATACGTGACACAAAGCAGAGCATCAAGTGCAACTGATCCTTCCAGAAAGACTCGAGGAAGACGAACCAACGTGTCGAAACTATATTGTCTATCACAGGTATTTATGCGAACAGCTGCAGTTTATTATTACTAAACTGCAGATCTTTATGCAAATTAACATTTTTAAGAATGTATTTGGAAAACAACATTATGATAGAAAATTGTTTTCCCTAAGGAACGTCATAAGAATCAATCACTATACTTTGGATATTTTAAACATTTTTTATTATCGTACGCATTCTTTACTCCTAACTTGTACAAAAATGTCGATGGCTTATACAAAATTTATTTCATCACATAATGACAATCTGCTAATTTCGAAGAATATATGGTATCTTTTCTAGACTACTACGTATAATACCGAAGACGATGAATTATTGTTTATCAGTAATAAATATTGTTTTCAGAAGTACGATCAAAGTCTACGTATTCCATCCTGCGAGATTTATTACGCGTTGTGCAATTATTAAAAGGTCTGCGAAAATATGTTTTTTCAATTTTTCTCATTATTGAAAACAGAATTAATGTGAAGCATTAAAAATCGCACGTCTTATTAGTTTGCAGAATAATTAAATTTTTCAATATTATTCACCAATATTCATTTTTATTCGTGCAAAACTGACTAACAAACATTTTTATACAATAAATTGGGACTTTCTCGGAAAAAATCAGATAATCATCATAAATTTGTTTCATCGTAAATTAAACGAAAATTATTTATAGTATACGAAGAGTTAAGAGTGTCGTCATGTTTTTCGTTTTCGAGTCCAACTCTGTCATATTATATAATGATCGTTTACAATTTATTTTCGTTATAGCGACATTGTTGCATTGTATAACGTTCTTTAAAATAATCCGCAGTTAAATTCCGTACAATTACTGCAGTAAATATTGTTCTTATGCAATTCATATAATAAATGCACTGAACAAATGAATAAAATAATAATTTAACTTCTTTAATTTATTTCTTTAAGAAATTTTAAGAAAACAAATCATTTTACTTCTTTAAGAAAAGGAAAATATTCCACCAACGTCGAATCTAATAAAAATGGTATAGAAACGATTGAATTTGGCAAAAATTTCTTTCCTTGAACTCAATTACGTTTTTAACATCTTATCTTATCGATTACCTGACTGGAAGGAAAAACATGCGTGCGTGAATAAGCAAATCTATTCATTCCGGCAACTTTCTTAGACAATTGAATTTGATGATTACTGTTGTCTTTACACAATAACTAAGCTGTTTGTAAATGCAACGAAACCCAAAATTCGTCCTCGATCTTTTTTTATTTTGTTCTAAAATAAGGTATTATTTTATTCATAATATAAGGTAGATAAGCCATTAAACGTGGTCTTATTGTCAGTGTATTAAATATTTCGTTACCGAGTCACTGGTTTCTATATCCTTAGAAAAATATTGAATTACAGTTCACTGTACGATAAAATATTATTCGATCGTTATGATAATAAAACATGCAACAGAGTAAACTGGCGTACGTGAGCGCAGACACGTAACGTCGAAAAAGTTAAATAAAGTGATCATCGTACGACACGCTGGGAAGAATCTTCCTGAAACGAACACCAGTCACAAATACATTGCTCAACTAATTTCAACTAACTGCACTGGGTATTCGAGTAGAAGTTACTTGATTAGACCAGGTAGTATGAAACCAGAGTATTACCTAACACACGTCGAATAATAATGAGCTCTCATTACTCAATTGTACGAATTACTAGACTAGATGTAATTTTCGGTCAACATTTCGTCAATTTACCAGAAAATAAAGATATCAGATTACGAATAATAAATTATTTCACACTATGTCACAGATAATTTGAAAATTTATTATTTCATTAAGAGAATATTCAAAGTTGCACCTGCTCGAGAAAAAGTGAGACGAAAATACCCGAGTAAAATATAGACATATACCTTTTGTACTCATTGATAAATTTTCTGAATATTATTATAAATAAATAGATATTCTGATGCAAAACAAATAACATTTATTCTATACGTTAGCAATTAACAAACGCAGGAATATAAAATTGTAATGTACACTTGCTTTTTTATTCGAGAAAACTTCATCTTGGTATCACTTTGTAATACTATATTTCTCACGTCTATACAAGTTCCCATCTTCCGGTCTCAATTGAACTTCCCATTACATTAGGTGTTCAATAAATAGGCAATAAAGCAAACGTCGTTCGGCGATATTTAAAATTGTTAAACAATAATGTACGCATTACATACTTTAAATCTCTCTAAAACCGACATTACCATAATACCCTTTTTTAAACGAGTCAAGTGGAAACTCAGATTAGTGCGCGTATAAAACAATGTTTATACAAAAACCTAATAAAGTAATATATCCTAAATTCTGCAATATAATGCAATTTTCTTTTCAAATTAAAACAAAAAATTTAATCGTACCTAGTGTACTGTATGTCTGATCAGAATTGACACACCTGCTAGGTTTCAGAAAAAGAAAAATAATATTTGATCGACGATGTATAACCTTTACTTCGTCATTTTTTATTTCACACTAGCAAAAAAGGTGTACTTAGATACATATATAGACGTTACGTACATAATTATTTCGTTCACGTATCGCATACATGTATTTGTCTCGTTAAAAACGTGGTAAATACGCGCCTGCGGCGATGCGTATTCATCGCGTCAATTCTTTAAATAAGCTGAACCAATCGCAAGAATTACATTATAATATGAAATGTGTTAATTCTTTACAATTTAAAACACGACTCTAAAGAACTCTTTTTTCTATACTTTTGTAAGTTTCTGAAAATTCTTGTGGCTCAACGTTTTTTCTAAATATCTCGATATTTATAAACGAGTGGATTTGTCGAATGTTGGTATACATGAGTCATTTTAGAAATCCCTCTGGTGATCGTGAATTGTGTTCACAGAAAACATGAACATATAAAAAGATGATTTCACATCTACGAAATAATCATCTTCTCTAACGGAACGCATCAATTTGACGCATATTGAGTTTTACAAACGTCATTTGGCAAATAATTAAGTCGATTTTGATTAACGCAATTAGGTACACGAGTATATATCTTAATTTTCTATCTCTCAATCTCCGAAATTCAAGATTTAAATTAACTAACATCAATTTTTCTAAGAACAATACAACAAGCTGCACAAGACGTTTGCAAACCCAGTGTTGATATTTTTTAAACGTGTTTTTTTTAATAGAAACAAATGAATTTCTTGTACGTTTTATCCAGTAGATTGCAGGTTTTACAAATTCATAGAGAATACGTACAACAAAACTTTATATTTGCATAAATATGCAGCAATTACTTGTTAAAAGTTACCATTTAGTAATTTGTCTTTCTTACAGTAGAATTTCTAAAACATACTGTATATAATTTTTTCTTCGAAACAAATGGAATTTAAGATTAATAACAACAAAGGGAAAAATGGACAGGAAATAAATAAAGAAATGAAAATGAATAGTAACGTAAATAAAGGAAGAAGTTAAAAATCATTCCCGTTTTTTCGCCGCCAAGTCTGTTTTGCAGTATAACAAAGCTGTGCAATTGTTGTCTCGGACAATCCAATTCCTTGAAGATAATCGACCGACGAACACTTTACAATTTAAATAGTTATACTCTATTTGTGCAGTTATTTGTAATTTTGTATAATTTGGATAAAAAGCTTTATTAGGTGTAAAATGACTAAAACGAATTTTGTAATTAAAACATATATAATTTATACGTAAATCGTGGTTAACAAATTTTTAAAATACTACAGTGATTTATAGTAAAAGTTTCCTTGTAATAAACTATTTTAATATTATCTTTTTATTTGGATAATAAATATTTTTCTTAGGCAATGAATATTTGGAGACAGAGAGAATGAAAAGTATTAAATTTATTTCATTTGTTATTAATTACCATGAACAGTTAAAAGTTCTGCTCGGTGTAATACTTGAGGTCTTATCAAGTGGCCCAAATGAACTATATAATTTATTTGAATTTCCACGAATAATAATGATCGTTGCATCCGATGACAGTAAAAACTACACGGCGCGTGAGAAGTTAACAGTCAATTGTCTTCATCAGACAAACACAGAAAATAGAAGTGGATGTTAGTTATGACGCAACCCAATTAATATGACTACGAAAAGAGGGGAGTACTAATCGTGTCGTATTCTTTAGAAAATTTCCGGATTGGATCCGAAGAATTTTGCACCTTAAATGGAGACGTTCGACGCATGTGCAGAAACGATTTATACTAGACATATAAATATTCACTTCAAAATTCATGTCTTACGAAAACGAGGGTTCTTTCCAATAATTTTAATCTACTCTTTGCGCTTGTCTTCGTCGATGCTGATTTTCAGGAGAAGATAATTAAGATTACCAAAACTTTCTACCTTATATAGAATTCTCAAATTTTAAGCATCATAAAATAATGTGAAATTTTGATTTAAAAATTTTCTTCGCTGTCTTTAAATACTGAAAAGGGTTTTGAAAAAAAGCATTGTAGAGAAATAAAACTTACAAAAGCAAAAGGAGTTGAACCATGGTCTGTGGTCGACTGTGGAAATTTCGTTGGCTTCGACCCCAAATTACGCTGAAAGACTCCATCATAAGTCAATTCAGCATTATCTTTCTCGCAACCTGAATTCTGAGGTTTCAGAATACGTCTGGCGGAATTCCGCCTAGCTTCAGCGAATGCGATCCCTCTAAGTATCATTTCATACAAACTGATCACGAAAACGTCACCTTAGAGAATATTTTCCACTACAAAAATATCTGTCGTCCGACATAAAAATTCGTCTCTGGTGACGACGTATGATTACTGTTGTTCCAATCGTATTACGGATTATTGTTTCGATGATGAATAACGATGACGGAATGTTGAAAATTTTGGGAAGAATTTTTGTCCTTAAAAGGAAACGGGTCGACTGTTTCCGAATCGTCCTTTGTGATGTTACGTTCACAATTCAATGTAATATAATAATTATTAGATTAAGTGTTATAAGAATATATCACACACAAGCGATTATTATCTGTTTTATTTTTCGACGGAAACTATTTTTGATTATTTGTTTAAGAAAAGGCAAAGATGTAAGATTATCTGTTATCGGAAACTGAATTAATATTCAGACGAATTTCATTTAACCTTGCATACGGTGACTGTAATTGCGGCGTATCTTAAAAATATCACTACGAAATGCGGACACAGATATCCCGAAACTTTCGAACGAGCAACTGGTTACCTTCTGAA